TCGTCACACTGACGATTGTACATATATTGTAAAAAGCAAGAGTTAAACATGTATACTGTATATCTCATATGATTGAATAGACAATGAATTAAATATTCAGTTTTTTTAAATTATCATGTCTTGTCCTTTTCTGGCAGCATGAGTTGCATTGTTGATATTGTAAGAAGGTAATTAGAGCCTGTTGAGAGGCTTGCTAACTTAAGTACATGCTTGGTTATTTCCATCAGTCATGTACACTAGCTTACCCTAGAAAGCCTTCTGAGGTGATGCGGCTGTAGGAGTCTCTGCTTCTTTTTTCCTGTGCAGAGACAGGACTAGTCTAGGAGCAGTTACAGATAGCACTTCTTGTGCAAACATTTTACACATTTCACAGTTTTCTTGTGCAATGAGAAATTACTATCAAGATGTGACTATGGTCAGTTATACCTGCAAATAAAGTGGTTCTGATAATCTCTATAAACTATTTCGTTGTGTACAATATTATCATGGAAGAAATAGAAATCAGGTTCTAAGCACATACAACATATACAAGAGAGAGCACAGACATTTAGAGAAATCCATATATGCGACAAATATAAAAACACACACAATATCCTTCAAAACTTTGGGGTCACCTCCATTTGTTGCACTTTTTTTTTGGACATTTAAGTCCTGTGATTAATCCTAAATGGTACAAAGCTATGAAATAAACTGCCACTTGTAAAACAAACAAACATAAAAGTTAAAAAATGTAACTTCCATTTTTTTTTACAGCAGTAGAAGTAAATTAAGCCCTGAAAATGGATGCAATGCCTACGGGTGTCCCAACATTTGACTTAAAACAACAAATTCTTTGTGTAAGACAGCAGTGCTGGGAAAAACTGTTATTACACCATCTGTAGCATTTTTCGCAAAAAAGCCATTAAGAAAAAGAAGTCAGAGCTTTTCAGGGTTTACATCCTACAGCAGGATAATGACCCAAAAAATACCCCCAGGTTGTGTAGAGGAAATGAACAAGACTATCAGCTTCACCTGATGGAACAGCAGCACAGTGACCAGACTATCCAGGTTAAGTGCAACACATCTGTGGGAGCTTCTGCAACAGTGCTGTCTATCTGAACAGTATTAGATTTCACTTGTATATAGAATGGCATAAGTGTATTCAGCTGCTTAGTTGCACTACAACTGGAAAAATGGAGGTGACCCCAAAATTTTAAACAGTAGTATATAAATATGTAAAGTACAAAGTGCTACACCAGAAAAATGCAGTACTCTAGTGGAGACCCAGTTTGGATCAGGAGCAATGTTCCACATACTTTTGTGTGCCCATCAACCTAACCCTTTAATAAATGTTATTTTTAGGTGAGAAAGTAACCATTTAGAGTAACCATTTTTTGGAGTTCTAAAAACCTGGTTGGATGTCTTAGCAGATGTCAGTGTGTGCTGTCATCTCGGGAGAACAGTCTTTTACCCAGCCCTCTGGTAACTTTCCACTGGATCTGTTGCCAGTGGCAATTTGAAAAATGTTACAATTCCTCTGGGAAGATAAAATCTGTTCTCTGAGTTGAAATAAAATATTTGTTGCTGATAGTTAGTCTGAAGGTAAAACTGACTGCATAATAAATTCAATTTTTATTGGACAGTTTAATGACAGTGCTGCCTCAGTGGACTTTGGGGTTCATCTACATACTGTACATATATATCATCACACATTCACTAAAGATAAATGTAGAAAATAACGAGATAAATAAAATTTTGTAGAGTGGATTACAGGTGTATCTTTTAGTGCACCCCCTGTCAGTCTGGGTTTTCCCCCTAAAAAGCTGGCTTAGAAAACTCTCTAAATGTCTGTATTTTTACTGCTCATTCACATTGAGCCCATCAATCCCCCTAGTGTCTCAAAGCACTTCTGTTGTGGAATTATTCACAGTGGCCCCTTGTTGCATGTGTTTCCCTTTTTGTGTGCATTTTTGGATTTGTTGGAGCACAAATCCTTAAATGTTTGTGCTTTCTCTTTTGTATGTGCTTTGACTCTAGGAACCACTCTTAATAAAGACCCAGGTGACCCAGTCTGTAATAAACAAGAATTATCCCATAATACAGCATAATAGAAAAATATTAAAGAAAGAAGCAAACCTACAACAAAAGAATACAATAACACAGACTGCTACTGAGCTACTAAACAAGTACTTAGCTGTCACGTACAGATGCATCCACTCAGAAATGCTGTTACACCCAAGGAATTTGTTTCCAGTGCAGAACCAAGGAAGTCATCTGTGGCACCAACTCAAATGATGGCTCTAACCATCAGGGGCAACTTGGGGGGTTCAGTGTCTTGCCCAAGGACACTTCGACATGTGGACTGCAGGCACCATGATTCGAACCACCGACCCTCCGACCCTTCAAAGAATAGTTGCTTATAAAATCCACAAAATTAGCTAAAGACTTCATTAATAGTCTCAAAACAAGGCAGATCCATTCTGTAAACTAAAACATGACTCTGTAATTCCCAGCATAATAGACCATAGGTGCTTACAGACAGTGATCAGTGCATCTGCAGACTAGCACTGATATAATTGTATGTTTTAACTTTAGAATCAAAATCAGAATCAGAATCAGCTTTATTGGCCAGGTGTGACGGACACACAAGGAATTTGACTCTGGTACATCGGCTCTCAATGTGAAAACAGTAAACCAGCATAAGGCTGTGTAATATAACAACTTGGTGGCAATAGTACAATAGTAGTTCAACAGTAGTTCCTGCCTAATTTTCTGCCTACACTACTCATGTCAATTAACCAAATAGAGCCAGTGGTAGCTTAAAATAGAAAAAATGGTGAGAAATATGATATAAATGTTCTATATCAAACTAATATAAACAATGTCTATTGATCCAGAATGGATAATCAAATTCTAAAAATGATGTTGCTTCAAGATTGTTTGTCTTCATTGATCTGCCTGTTCTCTACTGGCGGACAGGTGAATAATTCAGAGAGCTCAATAAAATATGCTCTTGTATTGCTTCCCCTGGTGTGGTTTGGTTGTCGCCATGGTCACACAATACGCTGCAAGAGCATGTTGATAAAGCTGGACCATAATCAGCTCCGACAGCAGCCGCAAATAACATGTGCATGTTTACAAGTGTGGCTGCTGCCGTCCTCTGTCTTAGTGCTGCTGCTCGCTGTCTGAAACACCTCACATTCTGGCAGGAATCCTAATAATCCTAATGGAATAATCCTATTCCATGGCTAACTAGTTTCCTAAACTTCAAACTATTAGCCACGTTTCCCAAGCTGCCATTTAAAATGTCCAATTTAATGGCATCTTCAATTTAACATGCTGATTGTGACTTTGGTGAAAACTTTCAACATTCATTGAAGTATCAGTCAGAAGTGTCCCTCCCTTAGTGTTGGTCCCAGTGGGGATGAATCAGCAACGTGTCTAAGTACTAATGAGGGTTTGTAGCGGGGATGTTCCCAGTATTAAAATAAGCCAGCAGCATTTGATGTTTGACACACAGGAAGTCAGTGCCAACAAACTGGCTTCTGTGAAACCAGACTTCCTCTTCACAGGAGCAATGTCTGCTGTTTTAATATAAAATATTTTATTTGTTTGAGCCTTGGGAATTCATCCTCACATCTCCTCAGACTCCTGTGGGCTCTTCATCTGAACAAGACCGATGAAAGCCCAATTAGATTTTTTCCCCTCTCTTTCAAAATGCAAGTACGTTTCTGGCAACAGAAGTGAAAGGAATACCACCAGATTAAAAAATGGGCTTTCAGAAGCCTTTAATAGGTTCATACAAGGTACATTTCTCTCTTATCCTGCACCTTCTTTACCCTGCAGACAAGACAGATAGGAGGGAAATATCTTAACTCTTTAAACCCTGGCTGAATTCTGCTTTTTGTAATGTGTGCTCTAATGTCATGTCATAGATATAAAATTACCAGCCATGACATAATAATTAGATTTCTGGTTGCTTCGGGAGCCCCTGGTAGTTTTGTTGAGACCTTACTTATCTCCATGGCACAGCAAGCCCTGGGCTGTGGGTGGAGGCACCAGGCTGACCGGGGGAACAGAACCCGCTGAGTGGAACTATCATCACCCCTGCACACACTCAGCTGCTTCATCTCTGCAACTCCTCTCATCAATTTGGAGCAGCACTAGAAAGGAATCCGCTGCTAGCTGGGAGAAGTGGGCCTTTCCTGAGGCTTTTAATGGACTCCCAGCTGGTGACAGACTGCACATTTTGCTGTAATAACAAGGCTTTTTGAAAAGTGGAGGAGCACGTTTGAACGTGCCCTCTCTGCTGTGTGTGGGCAGACATTTTCCTGAAGGGACATGAAATATATGTGTCTGATGACTCTTGGTATTGCTGTTTTTACTTTACGTGCATTCTGTGTTCAGTGAGTACAGTATGGTGTCTGATATGGTGTTTTGTGTTTGTAATATGTGGGTGAGAAGCATGATATTACCTTTTTAGTGAATACACTTGTGCAATTTTTCTTGTAGATTTCTTATTTAAAGATATTTTGGGTCTTGGGTCTTACTTTCATACAGTAGTTAAGCCATCATTCTCATTGCTAATCATAAGGCTAAGCTGAGAATAAAGTAAAATTGCTGTCTATTGGGTATAATATTCCATCACAGTTTACAGAAGTACTTCCTGCTATACCTGTAACCTACTGTACCTGCCCACAGTTTTGTTGCGCAGTGAGGGGTTATTTCCATCATTTCGATGTATTCTGTGACTTAGACTGTCTGATTAAATCGGTAGGTTGTTTATCATCTGACTACACATGTTAAGATCCAAGTTGTAATATAAATAGTATTGGTATATGTTTATAAATAGTATTTTTAGCCAGTAATGGGCCAGGAAAATTTAAGCATTACAATGTGATACCTACATCCAGAAGCCGATACAGTATGTGCACTTTTTCTTTTAATGGTTCCAGCGCCCATTTCTCTCTGTCTTTTCATCTTTTTTTGCCTCTGTCTCCATTTTCCGTTCCATTTTCCAGGAGGCCATTGTAACAGGTCTACTCCCAGAGACTACCTACTCTGTGACTGTGGCTGCCTATACCACCAAAGGAGATGGAGCTCGCAGTAAGGCCAAGCTGGTCACCACCACAGGAGCAGGTGTGTGCTCTCTGTATATTTTTACACTATGTGCTGCATGTCTAGCTGTTACAACATGTTTAAATGCTTATGCCTTTTTTTTTTTACCATAGTCTTCGCTTCATTTGCCTCTTAAAATGAAAAAGGTGAATTCATAAGCAATAAAATATGACATTGCTCAATTTGATACTCTAGGGGTACTTACCCTCCACCTCCTTCTGGTAGGAGGAATGCGTCACCTGGCTAATGTTCACTAATGTGCCGCTGGTTCCACTGGATGTACTAAAATTTGTCACGACCTCGCTTGCTATGGCAAAAGGAGGAGACAAAGGCTTCAAGTAAACATATCAGCAATTTATTCTAATATAAGTTTCAACTCAAATTAAGCTTACCAAGAGCAAATAGCTACATGCTGTGTAGTCAGTCTCATCGGTGGTCTGTGTTAGTTGTGTGGATGAATGAGATGTGAAGTGGTAAAAGATATTGTTGAATGGGGAAAGACTTAAATAAAGTGCACTCTGTCAAGGGAAGAGCCTCCCCAGCCTTCCAGGGGAGGAGGAACAGGGTTTTAATAGCAGATGGCCTCACCAGGCCCAGGAGCATCCAACTGCACTGGATTGTAACTCAACCTACCAGCCAAAGCATGAGGAGAGAATAAGAGAGATCAAGAAAAAGAAAAGATACAAAGAAGACCATCACAAACTGTACTCATGAAATTAATTGCTGACATCTTGGAGCATGGTTAAAAATAGGTCCAACAGAGCAATAAGCACAATCATCCAGGATCAGGTAGGTTGTAAACAAATCTCCAGATCTGACAAACCTATTCTGAAAAGGAAATGTAGGTCAGCGTAAAAATTAGAACTCAAACGGTTTGTTCTAAACATCTGTTACAGTTTGCAGACCAAATTCTTGGTTTAACTTTGATTATATAAAATTTAAAAACAGGCAAGTATAGTAAATCAGAGACTCTCACTGAGATCCGTGAGCTCCTTCCCAGGTCTTTCAGCGCAGCACTTAAACCACTTAAGGGCAGCATAGTTAAGACGTAAGTTTTGTAATTTACTGAGTAAGAGACTGTGATTTATGGCATCAGTTGCTTTTGAAAGGTCAATAAAGATAGCAGCATAGCACTGTTTTAATCCATAGTGGGGACAATGTCATCACCTACTGAAAAGGCAGCTGTGTTTGTGCTATGTCCAGGACATAGACCAGGCTGATCAGGCTGTAGAAGGTTCTATGAGTTTATAAAATTGATAGTAATTTATATTTAATCAAAGATTAGAATTCTAAAATTGCTGCTAAAGCTGTAAGCTTAGATACTGGGAGGTAATTGTTGAGGTCAGTGATATCTTCACTCTTATGTAGATGCAGGCTCTTTCCAGGAATTATACTTGGGTGTGTTCACTTTCAGTTTCATCCCCAAAGAAAGTGGTAGCTATGTGAAAACGTCTGCCTTGTTTACAACCTGTATCATTATCGGACTGTTCTTACTTGTTGCCCCATCTGACCTATTCTTAACAACAAAACCATGTTCTGAAATCTCAGCAGTTATTGTTATTTGGTCATACAGGGCCGGTAGCCAGTATCATATCAAGTATCAATTATGAAACCTTTTAAAAACACTTCCCATTTTCTCCATCCAAGGGAGAAATTGCTACATTTAGAAAGCAACATGCAGACTGCCTTGCTATATACGAGCAAGCTCTGGGTTTCCCAGCAGCAACTGTATACCAACTAAAATAAGACATCAATGTGATTGGAGTTTTTCTGTGTTTCATGAGTGTGGTAATGTAAGAGTTACTAAGACATGCAAATGCCGGAGAATGTTTTTGCCTTCCAGTGCCTGGCAAGCCCACTATGATGATCAGCACCACCATAGGAAACACAGCTCTGATTCAATGGCAGCCTCCTAAGGAGATAGTAGGGGAGCATGTGGGATACCAGCTGCAGTACAAGAGAGCAGAGGATGAAGCTTTTACCATCAAAGACTTCAGAAAGACAGACGATCATTTCACAGTCACCGGCCTTCATAAAGGTGCTACCTACATATTCAAACTGTGCGCCAAAAACCGAGCAGGTAACGGAGAGGAATATGTGAAGGAGATCAGCACCCCTGAAGACATTCCTGGCAGCTACCCCCAGAATCTGAGTGTGGTAGGCTTGACTGCCACCTCCACCAAGCTGGCCTGGGATCCCCCTCCTATGGCTGAGAGGAATGGGAAGATTGTCAAGTACATGGTGGTGTACCGTGATATCAATAGCCAGCACAACAACACCAACAGTACCACAAAAACAGAGATGACCATCCAAGGTTTGCAGCCTGACACAACCTATGACATCAGAATCCAGGCTTTCACCAGTAAGGGGGGAGGGCCTATTAGCCCCAGCATTCAGAGCAGGACCATGTCAACCTCCATGCCAGGTGAGGACCAGTTTGATGTAACTTCATTTATGAGCTCAGCATTCTGTTCATTACTCAGTGACCTGGACACTTAGGGGGATATTTACAGCTCATTTTCTGGTACTAAACAGTGAAATCGTATGTGTTCACATTTACTAAGGAGTGGCAGTGGGGGTTTGTGTGAGAAACAGAAGAATTGCGGCAACTTAGGAATTTGTACATTTAATTTCATCCAATATGTAATTTATGGCATTCCCATTCAGGAATGTAAAAATAAGGGAGGAGAGAATGGAAATTTATACAAATACTCCGATGACCTGGTTTACCACCGCTGTGACAGAGGGAACCACGGCTGAAATTTAACATCAGGAGAAACCAGGTATAAAGCTTGTGGCCCTGCTGTCAGCATGGCAGCTGCTAGTCATTTGAGATTTTGTTTGGGTTAAGAACACATTTCAAGAGGGGACAGGGTGCTTATAAATTACATTGCTCACCAGAGGAGAATGTGAGGGACTTATTTCAGGTCAAACCATGCTTCACTGAGGCTACGAGCCTTAAAAATGAAAGTTGAGTTGAGTGGCAAAGTACATGATTGCAGCTCTGATAGATCTTTGTTAATGTCTTCAATCATAGTAACATTTGGTCATAGTAAACACATTCATTTCTGCTGTCTCTGTCCACCCGTGCACAGTGCAGGCACGTCCTTACCAGCTAAATTAACACAGCTGCCACTATGCTCACCAGTATTAGTAATAGACAGCTAAATTGAAAGGTTGCGGTGCATCTGCAGTTCAGTATTTTCTGTGCCTGATGGTAATTTGTGACAGGTTTGATAAATACCCCCCTTAGGGCTTTATTATCCTGAAATATGGCACCTTGTGGAGATGCACATGGAGGTGATCAGCACATTTTGCAGTTTTGCTGACCATGCGTTAGCATAATACAGTACATTATTACTTGGAGGATAAGACAATCAGCAAGTGGAATCAGATGGTAGGTTGCCCCCCTCTTTGCAAAAAAGACTCTCAAAATATGTGTGTGGTGTGTATTCTTATGGTGTTTTGTTGCTGCTCTCTATTGCTGCTGGAACACAGGAATTTACCCATTGTGGGATCAATAAAGTCCTACCTACCTACCTACCTACCTTTTATGTTTTTAAAGTTTAGTGAACTTTATCCAACAGAAAAACATAAATGTTTTTAAACAAGCAAAAACATTTTGCTTGGTAATATATAGAAAAAATGTAATGTCAGTTATCATAAAATGTAAATAAATGATGACGGTAGCAGTGTGTCAGATATGCAGGATTTTGGAGATGAGTTAGTTTTATCCTCTGCAATGCTGCTCAGCAGAAAAAAGCACAAATGAACATAATCTTGAAAAACATGGAGGGCACTGCTGCCTCTGAAATCCACGCTACCTGTGTATTTTCATTTATTATTTATTGTTGCTGTGCACCTTGGCAGTGTCCAGTGTTCTGTTCTTGAGTTTTGCTGGTGTAGGGCAGGTACAGGTTTGCAAACTGGCCTGTGCAGGAGTCAGAGATTTAAAAAACACACACACATGACTCAGACATGTCTAAACGTGTGTTAAAATGATTTCACAAACAAGTCTTATGTTTGTAGCATGCAGGAGGAATCATTTTGTGGTGTAACTGATTATATGGATCCACTTCTGTGCATAGGAGACACAAAGGCAAACGACCAGAAACATTAATGGAAGTGAAAAATCTGAAAACTCTCTAATAATCTTCTGGCCATGAAGGAGTGTTTGCATTAGATCATCATACTGTGAAACTTAACAACTGTGAGAAATAGTTTTTCACTGATGTTTAGAAAACCACAGAATGTTAATTACTGGTAGATCCTGGCTGATCCCACCATTGTGTTTGGAGATGAAAATAGTGAATGAAGTTGCTGCTGTTGTGCCATCCATGAGTAAAATTACACACAGCCCCTCTCTCAATGAAATAACACTGTAGATGAAAAGTATCATTTTGGTTGTGTGTTTTGTGGGAAACTGGCTCTTCAGAGCATCAGTGTTGAGGACTTGTAGTCACAAGTTTCAGTCACATTAAAAGTTGTACTTTGATGCATATATCAATCTGCAGTAGATGAAGAAATATGTAGAAAAATGCCCAACTTGACATTCATGAAAGCTGTTTGGTGGTTCTGCACAAGTGTGTATGTGTGCCTTTGTATTACTTACATCATGAGGACCGAAACCTGTTAACACACTCACACTGTGGGGACTCGGCCATCTGAATTTTAGGGTGGCAATGTGGTTTAGGGCTAGGATGAGGTTAAGCGTTAGGGTCAGGCAAGTCGTGGTTATGATTAAGGTTAGAATAAGTCTACAGGAAATGAATGTAAGTCAATGTAAAGTCCCCACAAGAAATGACAACACAATGTGCGTGTGTGTGGCCTTATTTTTCTATAAATGTGTAGCCCAAAATCTGTTAGTTACTATCTTTTCAGTTGCAACCACAACCTGCAGGAGCTGCAGGGCTAACAACAACAGTCAGCAAAGCTTGTAAATTAAACAGTGATCTATCAAACTTTTAACCATGATCAGCCTCAGTCTGTACACACACTAAGGCCAGGCAGCATCTCTCCTCCTCTGCTGTATTATTTTGCTCGCAGTTATGAAAGAAGAATATACACCGTAATGCCGTAAATACACAGTATTTCCTGAATGCAATGTCAGCCTCAAGCCATCTGGACACTGGAGATCATCATGGTTTTTCAGGTCAAGTTTCAGTCTGAACTCTGAAGAAATTACATTTGCTGGGAGCTATCACGTGTGGATATTTTGTCTGTCTAGTCAACCTTATTTAGTACATTGATTTATACTGTATTTATAGTTGATTACAGTTGTATGGGTACTGGTCATGTACAATACAAACTATGCCACAAATTAAAGGGTTAACAAAAGAAACATAACAGAAATCACTTAACATGTAAAAGCTTCACTGATTCTGATCAATACCATAGCAGCTCTTACTTCTGTGCACCAACTCATCTATCTATCTATCTATCTCATCTCAGTTTTATCTGCAAATGAATTAACCACCTATTAATCATCCAGTCCTTCCCTCAGTGTTCACCAAAAACTTCGGTGTGAAGGCGGTGATGAAAACATCTGTCCTGCTGACCTGGGAAGTGCCAGAAACCTATAAATCTCAAGTGCCTCTCAAGGTAAGATCATCCCAAGGTTCAAAACAGATAGTAGCTGCAACACTTACTGTAAACATTCATCACAGACCTCCAGTTTTTCTCAGTCACTTTGGTACATTCCACAATTCATCCTTGACATCCTTGATATTTGCAAAACGGAGCATTTCTCCAAACAGTTCATACAAACAGCACCACACAAAGAACCACCTGTAAACGTGCATCACTTGCTTGGAATCCTTAATTTATCTCTCAAAAGTAAATATTTATGTCACTGAACATGCCAGTCCTTGTGTCATCACTTATGAACATGGCAATCAGAATGATTAGTCATGTTCTCAGTATAACAGTGTACTCTGGAAGTATTTTCATATGTAAACTATGGCTCAGGTTTTGATGACAATGACTGAAAATGCACAAGGCTGCAGTTGTGCAAGGCTATATGGTATGTATCAATTCAGTTCACATTACTGTATGGGGGAGGCTGCAAAAGATTGGACACATTCATTTTTACACTTTTACTGTTTTTACTGTCATTGTGATACAGAAAAGTAAGTGTTTTACAGCACTGCATAGCACAAAGGAAAAAGCACAACATTAGAAATGTAAACAGCAAACACCCCCTGGACAGTACAGTTGTTCTCTCAACAATTTGTCTGCCTTTGACCACCCCTGGCCATTGGAAGGTTATGACTGACACTATGGCCCACATGTGTAGCCCTTATGTTGAATGTTGTATGTCCTTGGCCTCTTCTCCCTCTTCCTCTGTTTTGCCCCCTAACCTTCCACCACACAGTGCTACTCCTCTTCTTCTTCTTCCTGGTAGTTGACGGTGTTCAATAACACATATTTCCACTTAAACTAAATATTTTAAGATGCATGATCTCATCAAACAAAATAAAGTGTCAACTTTGTGAAACTTTTTGTTCTGTTGACCCTCTTAGCAGAACAGCTGCTTCATAAATCCTGAAGAAAATCAATTTGCACCATATTAAATTCTGCTTGGAATGTACTTTATGGCTGGCCATTTGTTGAGAGGCCTGTCTGTCACTCAGGCTGTGGCACTGTGTTGCTTTATTGATAAGCTAAACTGCAGAAAGAAGGTTTATGACCAGCCAAATAATAGTAAGAAAGGAAACCACATTTTAGTTATTTAGGACCTTGTAACACTAAACAACACAAAACAAAGAGTTTTACACAGGAACACAAGAAGGTTACAAAGTTTGTTGGAGTTACAAAGTAGATTGGAGCTACAAGTAACAATGTCATAATATACAATAAAATTCGAATACACAGGAAACTGAAAGGTTATTTTAAAGGTTAAGGTAGATTTGGTCTCTTCTTTTAGGGCTGTTTCACAACCAAGTAGTCAAACTGCAAAGTCATAGCCATCTAAGGGACACTTAAATATTTTTTGGAATCCACTTAATCACTGTCATTCTAAGAATGAGACTGATGACAATGTCCTGTCTCATTCTTTATGTTGAGTGATGTCACCATTAGCTTAGCTTAGCATAATTATTAGAAGCAAGGAGAAACAGCTAGACTGGCTCTGTGCAAAGTGGATATATGCCCACCAAAACCTAAAGCTTTGCAGGGGGAGTGTGGTGCTAGAACCACATCCTGAGCAGTGACTGAGCAACTTCGAAAAGGCTTGGTGGGATAATTATTAAGGAGTCGCAGTGGGGTTAGTGGTGGAGAGACAGAAGAAACGTGGCACCACAGGTGTTTACATTGTTGGTCTCATGCAATATGTACATTATTTAAAGGCATTCCCATTCATGGACACATAAATAAGGGAGGAGAGAATGGAAGCTTATACGAATACCTTCAGTGACCGATCTATTTAATTTTAGGAGAAAGCAGGTGTAAAATTTGCAGCCCTGTTGTCAATGTGGTAGTTGTTAGTCATCTGGGATCTCTTCGGAGTTACAGTAAGGACATGTTGGGAGGGAGAGGGTGTTTGTAATTCGCATCGCTTACCAGAGGAGAAGGTGAGGGACTTGTACAGGTTGTCAGGTCAGGCCAAGGTTCAATTACTGGTTTGGTTGGCAGGAGACTACATGCTTGCAGTTCCAAAATGTGTTTGGTGATGTCTTCAACCATACAGTATTAAAGTTTGGTTCCCTTGTACCGTCTCTATTGGTCCACCCATGCATAGCAGGCACATCCTCACCAACGGAAGAACATTCAAAATAACACAAATGTTGCTATGCTCATTTACATTGTCATTGTTGGTAAATATGCCACTAAATTTGTGCCAGTAATTTGTGACAGGCTTAGTAACTATCCCCCTTATTGTCACAGTGGGGTTGCCAGGATTGGTACCACCATGTCTGCAGAGTGAACAAAACTAAAAACCATTCCCACTCTATCGCACAACCTGTGCTTTGGCTTCAGAGGCTGCAAAGAAGTGCTGGACAGATTAATCAATTGTTTCAATAGTTTTAGCATGTAAAATACCCAAAATATACTTTTTGTGTATGGATTAACAAAGAAGTCTGTGCAGATTCTCAGTCATCCACGTCATAGTAAACTGAAAAAACTTAGAAAAAATCAACTGGACTTAGATTTCTAGGTCGAAGACGTTTCACCTTTCATCGTTTAACAAAGAATATACAACATCTTTATCAGAGGACTTTATAAGTGTTGGTATAATATGTGCATTTTAGAGCTGGGCTAGCTGTTTCACCCTGTTTCTAACATTTATGCCAAATTAATTTAATTGGCTGCTGACTTTACCTTCACAGTTTTTACAGAAGTAAATCTTCTCAGCTTACTCTTGACAAGAATGTATTTGTCGTGTTGAACTATAAGATCTGAGGGTACCACCTTAATTATATGCTATATGCTCATGATATTCTACTTTAGAATACTGAACTACTTTATTAATGTTCCAAAGGCATAATATATATTATACCCCAGTTCTTTTACTGGACAGATCTGAGTAAGGAAGGAGTCCGTCTTTCTTGATTTTAGTGCTGGTTTATTTACAAATATATATATAACATTCCCCACTCGCCCCCACTTTGGGGCGGTCTTGTATTCCTTCCTTCAAGCTCGGGTCCTCTACCAGAGGCCTGGGAGCATGAGGGTCCTGCGCAGTATCTTAGCTGTTCCTAGGCAAGGAGGAATGGGCAAAAATTTCAGTCTCTCGATGTGCAAAACTGATAGAGACATACCCCAAGCGACTTACAGCTGTAATCGCAGCAAAAGGTGGCGCTACAAAGTATTAACTTAAGGGGGCTGAATAATTTTGCACGCCCAATTTTTCAGTTTTTTATTTGTTAAAAACGTTTGAAATATCCAATAAATTTCGTTCCACTTCATGATTGTGTCCCACTTGTTGTTGATTCTTCACAAAAAATTACAGTTTTATATCTTTATGTTTGAAGCCTGAAATGTGGCAAAAGGTCGCAAAGTTCAAGGGGGACGAATCCTTTCGCAAGGCACTGTATGTCTGGTATGGTAGCCCCCCGCCTCTATTGTTCTTGTACTTAGTGCTTGTTCTTGTGCTGTCAGGATTAGTGCCTCTGTGCTGTCTTTCAGTCCAGCTTTGTCCAGCCACTGGTAGGATTTTTCGATATCAGCCCCTTCTACTACTTGACGGTGGTACATACCGTGCAGAGGTTTGTCCTTCCATGAGGCTTCCTGCTCTTCGTTCCCCCGTC